TGTGTGTATGACAGACTCTGCGAGAACTGGTGCCACGATGACGCAAGTGCCCCTCCAGACACCCCTTCTTGACACTACGGGGCCTTCTATGCACTCTTTTGCCTTTTTTCTCCTTTAGCTGGTCAAGGAAGGACGAACACAAAAAAAGAAGGAAAAGGACGTGAAACACCCTCTCCAAAACACACACACACACACACACACACACACAGACAGACACACTTATACCTTGTAGATTTCTCTGTCTGTTAGTGTTTTCCTCAGTTAAAAGGGCTTGTCCCGTGCCAGTGTCTGTTAATTATTTGTTTTAGATTTTCTTTTTTGGTTTGATCTCTCGTGGGGGCAAGAGATCTCTTCGACCTGTCTTCTCTGCGCGGCTGCGCGGCTGCAGCGGAGGCAGAGATACAAGAAAAAAAACCCAAGTGGGGAGAGTGAGGGCTGAAAATACGCACATACGCACACGCTTTTCTCCGTGCTTTAGGCGATATATAGCCACGGTACATGGGGGGAGGAATCTCCAGAACAGGAGGGAGTGGACCACAGACCACCTACGCCGACGATGGCGCCGCACGTGACACCTTCTTCACAACGCCCAAGGGCATATTGAAGAACAACGGCGGTGGTTCAGCAGACATCAAAATCCGTAGTAAGTCTTCCTATCCGCCCTCTTTAGTGGCAACGCCTAATTATAATGTGGGTGAAACTGCTGTACAGTTGCCCATCACCGCCTTCAACCAAGATGTTTCTATAGTGGATGCAAACCAGTACCCCCGTGTAGAGCGCATGAATTACTTTGACTGTAGCAATACAACCGATATTCTTGTTCCTGCAAGTATTCAAAAATGCCAGGGGAGAGGGAGTGGCCGATTCAAGTATGGTCAGCCGTCCCCACTGCGAGCGGGGGATGATGTGTTTCCACTTCCTCTTCGAACGGATGGTGGTGAATTAGTGTTCTGCTACCGAGTTGTGAGCGTGGACGGGCATCTGTGGAGTTTTTACAACGATACCGTGATTTACCAGTTAGAGCTGCTTTATGTTTTTGCTGAAGAGTCCAGCATTAATGTGTTGGGCCATACAACAGTGCGGGAGCGATCTGATGGCCGATTGGAGGCTCGTCTTGTCGTCAATCCAGGCGATACACAAGAGTTTATCTACGGTAATGTGGTGCGCTATGAACACGATGTGAAATTAAAACTCATCAGCCAGGCGTTCATAGAGGCCTCTTCCCGTGCCTGTGCTCCGTATATCTGCGAGGAACGAGAGAACATACAGAAGCTGCTCACTTCAAAGGGAAAGAAGGAGGTGTCAGTCAACAAATGGAACGTCTCAAGTGAAGAGCTGCTGCGTTGGTGTGTTGAGAAGAAGGTGCCCTTTGTGGACGTGAGTTTTTTCCCCTTCTCAGCGTTTGTTTGTGGCAGCTTTATTGCCAACTCTGAAAGGGCCGTGCGCTGTGGCTTGTGCAAGCCGAAGAATTACTTACCACCGGGATTAGCCGGAGAAGCACGTGTGCTGCGCAGCTCTCCAAGACCAAGCTCTGTGAGCGCCAGCGCTGTTGGAGGCCAAGGCGTGGTGTGTGCGCTCGCTCTCCTTGCAGAGGACCCAAAAGAGGTAGAGCGACTCTTTCAACACCCCAATGGATCTGCGGCTATGACTGAGGAGGATCGGGTTGATGCCAGTCGAGTCACGTTGTGCGTGAATGGCTGGTGGACTTCCCTTGTAGTGGACCACTACTTCCCCGTCCTTGACATGAAAATGACCGGCGGAAAATGTGTCAATGATCCGGCGGAGTTGTGGGTATCAGTGGTGGAGAAGGCGTATGCCAAGATGTGTGGGGGCTATGACCGTATTGTGAATGTTGATCCTCTTCACGTGTTGCAAGATCTCACGGGCTGCCCTGTGAGCCGATTTGACTTTCTGCTACGGGATTCCCACTATCACGAGGGGCTTTTTGACAAGCTAAACCGCTATTCGGAATTAGGTTTCATTGTTGTGTTGGATAAGCCAAACCTCCAATTGCGTGAGAAACACTTTCAACGTCTGGGGCTACGCAGAGGTGATGCATGTGCGGTGCTCAGCATGAAATTCTTTCAGCCTGCTCCCACTGATAGTTCCTTTGGGAGGCAAAACGTGTTCCGACTCCTGAAGTTTCGAAATGTATTTGGTAGCTCTAGCGATTGGGTTGGTGGGTGGAGCTCGCGTGATCCGGCGTGGCGTGCACATCCAGCAATAGCTGCTGCTTGTGAATTTGGCGGGAGTGTGGGAGAAGAGGAAGGGGAGGAAGATGCGGTCTGGATGGAGTGGCGTGACGTAACGCGCTGCTTTCACGGATGCGGTGTTTGCTACACACACAACTCCTTCTACGAGCATCGCGTGAAGGGCCAGTTTGGTAAGAACGGAGTCCCGAGCTGTGTGGTGAAAATGGAGGTCACTCGCCACACCTTCTTGCTGGGTGTGTTGCAGCAAACAACACACGAGGATAAACCAAAGCATCCCATTGCATTGCAGTTGTCACGGCGCCAGATTGCGATGGATGCAGAGAATGAAGAAGAAGAACAAGTGGGAAAAGTGCCGGGGAATCCATCCAATGACGGCAATGCGAAAAGCGAAGGGGATAGGACACCAAGGAAAACCTCAAAGTCAAAAAGGCACTTGCTCTCTAAAAAAAAGAGCAACTGGCGGCTGCAGGAGGTTGTCCTGAATTCCACAGCCGACAGCGATGCACCAAGCCCGGCCGTGATGACTTTTCGTGCAACTGCCCAGGTAAGCTTTATCGGCGAGCTACTCCCCGAGTACAGCCCGTACTACCTCATTCCCCGTAGTGCTTCTGCCGAAGGGGAGTACGTATTGGGCTTCTACACGAGTGTCCCTTGTGGTAAGTGGGCGTTTGCTTCGGCGCCCAACAGTAACAGCGGTGATGGTGGCGATAGCAGCAACCGTAGCACTGATTACGTAAACGCCGAATTTGTGCGTTTTTCGTCCGAGACGGCACTGTTTGACGACAATCTGCGGTTTAAGGTGTCATCGGAGACACCGGTAAAGTGCACCTACCAAGTATTGCCTCCGCATGACTCGTTGCTTGCTTTCCCCGAAACATGTAGAGGTAAATGTGTGAGGTGATGACCCCTACCATCGTGCTGTTCCTTTCTTATTTGTTGTTATTGCCGAGGGATTCTGACGCGAGGCAATTGCTATATATATATATATATATATCGGTAGTATGAGTGTATGTGTTTTCGCCACTTGATCATTTCATCAACTGACGCTGCTACCGATTCAGTTCGTTTGGTGCGGTGGCACGTGTCCCAGGCGTAGACACGCACAGAAAAGCCGACGGATAGCTGTATCGCAGTGACCATCCGATTGTATGTGTAAGAAGAAGGGCCGTGAATGCCGGCCTGCATATACGTGAGCGATGTATATCGAGTGTGCTCGGCCATCTGTCATAGTAAACCTGGTTGCTGCCACAACCGTGTTAGGTGCAACTTTTGAAATATAGTCCTTGCAGCCATGTGAAGACTTTTTGTGCCATTCCTTGCGTTCCCCTGTTTGCATTTTGCATTTTTAAAAATTGTTTTATTCCTTTTGGTCCTTTCACCCCTGCGTTCGCTCACTTCTTCCCATTTTTTTTTGTTTTTGTATGTGTCTTTGTGCGCCCCCCCCCCNCCCCCCCCAAAGGGAAAGGTCCAGCTGCACCCTCACCAACACACATACCACTACTATCGTCATGGGATCTGGTTCATCGAAGCCGAAGGATCGTCCTATCACCGGTAGCCCTGCGATGCATGGGAAACGAACGGCGCTCTTCAATGGCCTTCTCTACCGAATCATTGATGATAGCACGGGTACGTGGGGCTTCTACAATAATTCCCAGGATTACGAGTTTTATGTCATGTATCTGTTTGACATCGGCAGCACAATACAGCCGCTTAACCAGACCTCAATGGTAGAGCAGGACGACGGTTTCCTCTGCGAAGTGGCGGTGCTCCCGTCCGAAACACAGAGGTTCATCGTGGGCGATGTGACGGGATACGAGAGCAAAATTGAGGCGCGCCCGCTGGCCGATGAGTACTTCCAGTCTCACCCTTTTCTCGACGAACGTGATTACTACCGCCGCGTCGCCGCTCCCAGAGCTGCTGCATTTTAATCAAGAAGACGAGACAGGATTGAGGTGTGGGGTGCGGGGAGACCTGTCGAACCGAGAGCGCAAACTGGCGGTGCCACGCTGCTCGGGTGCGAGCAGGAGGGCGCGGCGAAGATGAGTGGGGGAGGAGTGGTGGAAAAAAGACGGTGAGGGAGAGGAGTAAAACA